CACATATCTCATGGTTCGGGGTCTCCGATGAGGGTAAGAGGGACTGCTTATATCAAGGTTGGGATGCCTAACTATAGACTCTCTTACTCTTTTGAGTGTGTGTCCTGGGTTAGCATCTAGGGCCTTTAACCTAACCCTTGATGAGGCAGTCGACTCAATATCAAACTCTTTCATAAGGCATTTCAACATTGGTTGCCCTAAGTTGTTAGGGTAAGGCTTGAATGTGGGTCCTAGCCATAAAAATTGGAAATGTGGCTTAATTTATAGTACGTCCATATAGATCCAACCCTTATGGCCCATGTGTATTATATATATAATACTATTATACTATAAAATTTATATATATTATGAATTTAGATAATAACATTTTTTACTTTAGCTATGTTATTGTTATATTATAAAATTTATATAAAGAAAAAGTTTACATAAGGTTACAACCTTAAAATGTAGAATTACATATGCATATCAAAAATCTATTTGACGACGTTGTCTTAATGTTGAAAAAATCTCTAATTGATCATCTCAATTTTAAGATATATGGACATGAAAAAAAAAAGGGTTTTGAGTCCTAGAAATAGTGCATCTTGCAATACATCATCTAGACCGTCAGGCAATGATGTCATGCAACTGTTGTATAGTAATATGATACAACAACCTTAAAAAACCTTCTTATAGCTATTTGTTTGATCCAAATTTTGAAATACACATTCTTTTTATTCTAATAAATAATTACAAAAAATAAAAATTTAAAAATACAACTTAGAAAGTATTTTTTTAGCCCAATTAACATAGGCCGTTTATTTTGGTGAGATGTTTAGATCTAAGCCTTACAATGATTTTTCATTTCCAATTTTATTGGATGCCTTTATTATCATTAGATGAACAATGTTAAAAAAGAAAAAATGATTTTGAGTTCATAAATGTTAAGATCTTGAAATTCACAAAATGAATGGCCTAGATTCGTTTTTGGAAAGGATCATTTTGCACATATCTATGGTTCAAATTGAACTTTTTTTTTTTGTAGATTGATTATTGAGATGAAGAGAGTGTGTGTGTAAATTTTGTAGTCATACAACTACCACAAACATGGTTTTCTAGAAGTGTTGTTGCATTATATTATGATACAACCGTTGCATTAGATCATCGCTCCTAAACCGTCCATTCTCAAGATTTTCATATATTTATAAATGTACTTGATTTTAACCATTTTTTAAGTTTAAATTTTTATAATTAGATATGAAAATAGATTTTAAGATAATCCTAGGAAGCTTTTTTACCAAAATTACATATAACGATAAAATTTGGATGTGCACCTTAATTGGATTGTTTAATTTGATTGGTTAAGGTCGTGACCTTATAGAAACCACACCCTTTATATAATAACATTTACTCTTTTATCTATAGCTGAAATCCACTTCGAGTCGGGTTTGAGTCTAACGAGGACCTAGTCTGATGGGGGTCTGAGTTGGGGTTGACCCAACCAACCCTTTTTACCCCCTTAACACGACCCATCAGGGTTTTCAAACACTTTCTCTTAAAAGTCCAAAGGTTCCCTTCAATCCGAATATTGAACCATTTAATGGCGATGATTTTTCTTATTCATGTTAATTACTGTATAATTTCTGAGCGAAAAACAGAGAGGGGAAAAAAGAGAAACTTACATTCACATCCTCAAAAAATTATTGATATCTAAACAATCCCTCTCAAAAGTTCATTTTACATTCATACCTATTTTTTATTTTTCTCAAATTGCCCCTAATTCAAATATTGAAAGTTTGAAGTTGAGTCAGACAACCTTCAAAGTCTGAATTATGTAAATGAAAAAAAACCTCTCGGATGAGATCTTAAGTTGAGGTTTCGAACAACTTCAACCTTTCTGACCTTTAAGAGTCATGTTGCAATTTGGGAAAAAATGCAAAACATAGAAAAAAGGGTATGAGCATAATAACAAATTTTAGGGGGAGAAATTTTCAATAGAGATATTTGGGAATGATCAATTGTTTCATGTCAGTTGGGCCACATTTGAACAATATGCCGTCCAGAGGTATAAAAAAACCATATTAAAGAGGGATGCAAATAGGTGGTTTATCTAAAAACAATTGTAACTAATGGTCCAAATGTTTTTTTAATTATTTTTATTTTTACAATTTTTTTTTTTCATACACATGATCTCTATGTTGAAGATTATATATTCTCTAATAATTATGATCAAATTACATTTAAAAAATATATTTATTGCCAAGCCCGTATTTCTATATGTGCGGATTTGGCCGCATGGAACATCCTTGTAAATTTCCCAGAAAAGACCGAGAGACAATGCATGGCAATAGAGAGCGAAAAAAAACCCATAGAAAATAGAAAAAGAATAAAAAAAAGTCTACTAAAGGGGAAGCTTTCTATACCTACCCTATTGCATATACGTTTTATACTTTCCCCCTAATTTAGCCGTCTAATTTAGAACAAATGCAACTGCTAGATCCGACGCCTCGTAATATTTTAGGAAAAATTACATACATATTCATTATAGTTTTCATTACTACGGCCCTACCGACTAGTTTCCGTTATTACCACTATATCCGTTTTTTCAAGTTAAAATGGAAATTTAAAAAATAGACGACTTTAGAATTCAAAGTATTTTCAGTTATTAAATAACCGAAAATTTTCGGTTCTTCAAAACCAAAAAATGTTTTGTATTCTGTCTCTACCTCTTTGAAGTCAAGGTTATCCAATAAAATGGGGGAACAGCTAGTTTGAGCTCCTTGCCCAAAAAAGACGTTGGGTGAGTTTGAGCCCCTAAATTTAGAATAAATCTCAAGGATTATGAACTTACCCAAAAAAGAGACGTTGGGTGAAAGAGAGAGTTTAAAAAAAAATCATGTTTACCCATGTAATATATAGAGAGGTACAGAGATGATATGTAGACCCACAAGAGAAAAAAAAAATCGATTCTTGAAGAACATAAAATTTTAAATTTTGGGTTATTCAAAAACCAAAATTGGCCCCGTTTTCGGTTGTTGAACAACCAAAACTGGGTAAAGTCATCTTTTTTTTTAAATTTCCATTTTGACATGAAAAAAATGGACACGGTGGTAATAACATAAACTATAACGTATATGTATGTAATTTCCCTTAAAATAAAATAACCAAAATTCCCTTGAAAGTTTTAAGGGTATTTTGGTTTTTAAAAATATCTCTAAATATTTTTTTAAATGCACCCCATCAAGATGATGGCATATACCAAATTTTATATTCATATGATTTCTAGAATAAAATTAAATAAAAAATAAGAAAAATTACATATAGTTTAATTATTACAACTTTACCGAATAGTTTATATTATTACCACCATGTCCGTTTTTTCATGTCAAAACGGAAATTGAACAATCGAATTCAACGTATTTTTTATTGTTCAATAACCGAAAATACGCCCAATTTCGATTATTAAAATTTTCGATTCTTCAATAACCGAAATTTTTTCTCTCTTGTGGGTTTACGTATCCTCTCTCTACCTCTCTCTCTCTACATTGCACAGGTAAAAATTGTTTTTTTTTTTTTAACTCTATCTCTCCTTCACCTATGGATAAATTCATAATCCTTGAGATTTCTCTTAAATTTATGGGGCTCAAACTAGTTAACGGGGAGATCGTTATGTTAACGGACATGAATTCTTTCTATAGGACTCCAGAAATTTAAGCTCATACTCCTTAGACATACATTATTACAAATTCTGCCTTATTAATTATTATTTAAAGAAAAAAGTTTATATAGAGCCCCCAAATTTTCCTAAGCCCAAATGCCTTGTGTACTAATTGCTTAGACTGTTGGATCAAGGAATAAGTATCGCAAGGTCGGGACTTCAAAGTAAGACCGTGACTGCAGGCTCTAAACAATCAAAATTAAAGCCCACTTAAAAAATTTCACTAGAAGATGTTGTTTTGATGCCATCTCAACATCAAAATACATAGAATTCAAAAAAAAATAGATTTCAAGTTTTGAAAAATAATATACTTTATAACACATTTTTTAACTGACAATTTTCAAGGTTTTCGTGTTTTGATGTATTTGTTTGATCAACAGTATTTTTGAAGCTTTAAATTTTATTATTAAAGATGAAAACATATTTTAAAAAGATTTCCAACATTGAAACCACATTTCTTGACACTATTTCATGGTGCACTTTACTTTCATTGTTTAGAGCCTCCCACCGTAACCTTATTTAAATTCTCCCCCACTTCAAGCGAAGTGACAAGACTAAGCCATGAAGAATTTCTTCACTCAGACTTCAAACCTTCAAGCTCTAAAATGAGCTTCGGATCTTGGAAAAGTCAAGATGTTTAAGACTTCATGTCGGCCATAGAAGATCCAAAGTCGAAAATTTTAACTCAACTTTGGGCCTTATCCTACATCAAGAATTTATTTTACCACATTTGGAACTTGAAAAGTGAACTAGGGGTATTTTCAAAAAATGATAAGGGAGAAAAACTGGGTATGAACAGCAAATACAAAGTTCCGAGGGAATATTCTAGGAGAGAATACAAGCATAGTTTTCTCTAAATTATTCTCTTAAATTTGCGTAAAGAAGGTTACAACAAACGAGATGCATTATTTTTTAGAAAAATTCGTACTGAACCCTAATTCATCATCTTATTTCATGGTATATCCTCTTTCCATTTTTCTTTCAAGTGGCATAAAAAAATCCGTAGGGATTTTGCCGTACTCCGTCATCTCTTATCTTCCTTATTTATTCACTTTTTGATCATAAAAATTAGCTCCAATAAACCTTTTTATACCATTTTTTTTATGCCTTGAGGGGGTACGGTGAAATCCTTAAAGATTTTTTAATGCCACTTGAAAAAAAAATGGAAGGAAGGTCTACCGTAAATAAGCCAAGAATTAGAGTTCTCTACAAAATTTTCCCCTTCACATTTGCGTAATGTATTACAACAAACGAAAGACGGGGACCCAACGAAGAGGCTGATCAAAACTCTCACTCCTCCCTCTTAAAGAGAACCATAGTAACCACTTAACCGAAAAATTGTAATACACAACGAGAATGTTCTGGTCCAAAAGCAAGCGTGAAAAACAGAAGAGAAAAATGGTGTGATTTGGTGGTAAGAATACCTCGCAATTCGACTCGATGCTACAAAATTACATCCTCTCTGCCTGCAACTTTTGGCGTCCCCTGCAAGCCACAGGCATTAACTGGTCCTCTCTTGCCCGCTCACTCAGAATACGATGACAGTGGAAAACATCTCTTTCAAATGGTGGCGGTGGCGCTGCTCAACAAGAATGTCTTTTTTTTACCCTCCCATCCAGAATGAATTTTGATGATGATCTCCTCCTCCTCTGCTGGCTGATTAAAATTCAAAAAAAAAAAATAGTTTACAACAGTTAAAATTCTTTACAGGTTTTCTTCCTATTTCACTTGTTCTCTGCTCACCAAAATATCAAGAAAAAAATTTGAAAATATCCGCGAGATTACCGCAGTTAAAATTCTAACGATAGTTGCCTCTTCTACTAGCCAATTACTTCTTCAAGAAGGGCTTTTGGCAAACAAGTAATCTTTGGTTGTTATCACTGGGAAGCTCGATCATCCTAGCATCCCAACGAACTTGTGTAGTAATGGCACGAGCTCTCTCTATTATTTGCACTTTATCGCAAATAACAACCCACCCCTGCTTAAACACACAAGAATATTAGATTTTGGAGCAAAATGGATCTTACATAACTATATAGACAAAATAACTTCTCCAAAATCAAAATACAATAGGTAAACTCAACAATTTCATCTCTCTCTCTCTCTTGTTTTGCATCTCGCAACTCTAAGAAAGTAGATCTCGGAAAGAGAATCATCTATAAAGATAAGCAGCAACTTTGAGCAAATATGGTGCTAAACATTTCTAGTTTCAAAGGTTAAGATTGTTTGCAGTTACCATCTCATAGCTTTGATCTCTAAGATTATTAACTTAGATGTTTTAAGGTAGAGTGCTTGCCTCTCTCTCTCACACAAACACAGACACATATTTAATTAATGCAAGATAAAATCTACCTCTGGGCGAAGAATACGGTCCATTTCTAAGAACAAGTCAAGAATATTGCAGCCCTCATTGTGGACAAGATGAGAGAGAAGACCCCTCGCATGAAGCATATCATATGTTCGGGGGTATGTTGGAAATGGCTCACACCTGTAAAAGGATGGATTGTCAGGTAGACACGTTTAGTTCCTTCACTCAAAAAACTTTGTACTTACATTTTCAGAGAGAGAAAAAAAAAAACTGAGAATGTGAATATTAAAAAGAGGAAAAGAGAGGGACAAAGAGATTGGCCAGTGTATATTTGAAGGGGAGATTATATGTGTGATTATTCACAGAAGAGAGAGATATTATCACCAGTCATGCAAGACTCCGGCAAAACCTCGGTCGAGTATAAGAGGAAGCGAATTGGAAGTCCTGACAGGCACAACATTCATCACCCAAACTGATTTTCCAGCCTCCAATAATGCATCATTGAATCCGCCATAGTGTGCATTCATGTCCATCACATTACGGACCATGTTAAATGGAGGTAATGGATCCTCATCGCCTGGCCTCTTTGGGTGATCAGAGAAAATCAAAGGCGTGAGCAAGGACCAATAATTTTTCACAGCTGATTTCCAATAATTTGAATCTTCAACGTAATCATCAGCATCTACACCTGCAAAATTATGGTCACTCGCTAAGCAAAAACCTAAATCCTAAACCAAAAAATTGTGAATTGAATTAGTAGTCTTTGACCCTAGTAAAGGCCTGGGTTGCGTTTACATTAGAAATCTAGCTAAGCTTAGTAAAGAATTATTATTTACAGAAGTGAGATGGAAGATTCTGAACCACTCCAAAACAAGGGATTCTGGCCTTGGAGGGTTCAAATCAGCAAAGACATCAACCACTCAGTCCCTTAAACAGTGGACATGAACCATTACTGAAATGAATGTCCACCAACAAGGGTCTATAGTCTATCTTCACTGTCTCACATACCATACATGCATTAGAACATCACGTGCTCTCTTACAGTGATACCATCGTAACAGTACGGAGCAATACTTGCCATGCACTTTGAGATCTGAAGGAGTTAGTTGGTAGTTAGTTGGCCATCGAGGCCTCGACTGTATAGAAACCCATCTCTTGCTGTTGGTTCCACTTATGCATGAAGTAAGAGGCTGGTAGTAAGATTGTTTGTCCTGTTCCCCTTTACAAAGAGGAGGGACATCCCCCGGCTTGCTACATTGAATAAGGAGAATCATAGAGAGACATAAGCCATTTCACTTCGGCTAACTTTCAGAAAACAAAATAGACAAAAGAAAGAAAGACATTAATGGAGCCAAGCTCCAGCGAGGGGAAGTAAAACTATACACTAATGGTGTAGGCATACACTACAATCCCCACAGGGATATCTTCCCGATCATGGATGGTGGAGATTAACTGCAACCGCATGGGAGTTTCCCTGGGCGCCACTGCGGCTGATAGCCAATGTCAATGATCTGGAACATATGGTGATATCCCCATGGTGTACCATATACCATACACCAATGGCGTATGTAAAATTCATAGGATCTATTCAAGAATTGGATTAAACATAGCATCAATAGCTCATGATCATTAATCAAGTGGAATATGCCAGCCTCACCGAGATGCATAGCAACTAATCTCTGCAGTTTTTTGCCAAACAAAAGTTTCTTCTTGCTGAGACAATAGACTCCAACATATTCTCTTGGTAAATTCTTCAATGAACGTTAAACTGTTTCTGGCCTTTGAATTCACTCCACCTCCACGTGACTTTGTTACAGGTGAAGTTAAAACAAAGTAACCTCCAGGCTTTAGTACCCTGTCTACTTCAATAAGAGAAGCACCATCTGTTTTGCAGAAAAGAGTTTACTGATTAATAAACTAGACAATAAAAATAAATAGATGATAAATAAAATAATAGTCTATTCATGGAGCAAAACAAGCATGCACTTTCATCTTCTAGAAGCCCAGGAATTCCTAACTAATAGAAACAATTAATCAGAACAACTTGGCTAAACACATTCCCCATTTCAAACACAAGATCTTGGTCAATGTCCTCGCAAATATATCTCATGCAGAAAGAGAACAAATGCTTGAAATGGACAGAGTTGGAAATACACATGGAGAAAAACATAACATCAGATCATATGAGCACAGAAAAGGAGCATTATTGACAAAGCATTTACATCCACTAAGTTCCTGTTGAATCACATCAAAACAGGATACTTATGCTTCCCAACAAGCACCTTCGATAAGAGCAATAATAATGATAAAGCACCCATTAGAGAATTTTTGGTACGGTATATCTTTTGGTAACTATATCCATTTCAGAGGTACCTTTCTTATGCCAGCTGATTCCACACTGTGCGCAATGGACAATATCGTAAGACAATGATGGATAAGGAAGTTGGTTTGCAACAAAACTACCAATCATGGCTGGAAGGCCTCTTTCAAGAGCCAGTTGGACTTGACTCCCAAAGATCTCATATGCAGCTATACAAACGGTCATTAGTTTCAAGGAGAATAGATGTGCTCCAAAGCTACCAAATCCACACCCAATATCCAGCACAGTACGAACCTGAGACAATTAAAAGACACAAAAAGAATGGACCAAAATGAAACAATCAGAGATGGTATTGGAAAAAATTTCATGCTGATAATTCTAGTATAGTTAGAGAATGAGAAAAAATTGATCAATATTTATCTAGTATCCAATTATCCAAAACAAGCATCCTGCACAAAAGAGAAGGCCAGAAGAAAAGATATCATTTTCATATTAGAGTTAGAAATATTTTTCACATCAAGAGTGAAAATGGAAGGATGTTAACTTACACCAGATTGAACAAATTCCATATCACTTCCCAGTCCTATCATTTCTGCAATCTGGCGAGAGTAATCCTTGACACCATCAACAATGGCACCATCCTCAGAGTGGAATGATATCTGATTTTCCTCCAACAACATCAACCTGCAAGGCAACATACACTGGATATATTATTCATATAACTTCACTAACAGAAAAAGGAAAAGTATCAATATAATTCCACGTGTACATGATTTTTTATCAAATCATAACTCCTTCAGGAGTTCTCGTTAATAAAGTTCAAGTTTCAGATGTCATTTTTGCTTCATATAAGACCAGCTGCAAAAAACAATATTTTAGATTGCTAGCTAAAATTCAGCTTCAGTCTTTTAAAGCAAGATATTAATTAAGTCTACTTTCCCAATAAGACGAGCGAAAATAAACTTAGGTGGGCTACCATTGCAACGTAAACCTAATACAACACCAGCACGATTTGGTTTTAGTGGAAGGCTCTAAAAAGGCAAGAAGAAGGCCCGAAAAGGCATGGATAGAAGTAGTGAGAAAGGATACGGTGACTTTTGGTCTTTCTGAGGGCATGGCCCTTGATAGAGAAGAATAAAAGAATAGGATTCATGTAGCCAACCCAAATAATTCGGATAAGGCTTAGATGATGGTGATGGCAATGATGATGAAGAATTCAAGCCGGTCAAGGGCCACATGCCAAAACCAGTATTGGTTAGTGCATATTAAAATTCTACAATCAAGTCATCTTAGTACATTTAACTAACTAACTTAGCAAATTATTAAACCTTCATCCAAATTTTATCAATTCGTAATTTAAAAAATATGCCGTTCACTTTTTCAAGTGATTAAAGAATGTCACTCATTTGAGTTTAGAAAATACAAAACAGTGACTATTTACTCTAAAGCAAACTTGTTCCGTACCTTTTGGTCATACTCCCTGAAGAAAGGAACTGATCTTTGGTGATCTTCACATTGCCACTCCATATAACATCCTTACCTGCCGGCCACCTTAGGGTTATCTTATAGTCCTTTGGGGGGCGAGCCAAACAGCGTTCACCTATTCTTGACAATTCACAATGTCGATCAAATTCCTCCCCATATTGTAACCCAGCTTGCAAATTTGCAGATACATTATAGCAAGGGACAAAATTTTCACTCTCTTTCCCACAAAGATCAAGCTCTTTTGGGTTTACTATCCCTACAGAGAGAGACCTTATTTCTGAGAAATCAGCCACTGCCTTCTCCCTTAGCTTTCGGTAATTGGTGTAAATATCAGGAAGTGGAGGTGAGGACGCTAAAGAACGTAATGTGTTAGAAGAAGAACCTAAAATTGTGATTACAGCAAGAAGGCTAATGAAGAGCATCAATAACCAGTTCATTGGTGGGGTTCGATTGAATTTTGTGAAGGTTTGGCGGACAAAATGGCCTCGCATCTCTATATTGAAGGGATGGTCTTTAAAGTGATATAGAGGACCTAAAACCATTTCACCCAAAGCTTAAAGGATAATGGAAACAAGGTGCAGATCTCAACATAGGATTTGGATTGAATGATCATTATTCTCATCAGTTTGATTGATGCCTGCAAGTCTAGGTCAAAACGACTAATTCTACCTTCTCTTTAGGCCAATAATTTGGTGGAATATGCACAAAATGTGAGAAATCACGATCTGGGTACGTGAGATAAAATTATCAATGATAAAAAGGAAGAATGATAACAACAGTTAAGATGCAACAATGATGATAACGATCAGGTCAACAGATCATGAAAAGCAACTTCTTAAGAACTAGACAATTTTTCAAAAAATAACTCACTAAATTGTACAGAGAAACCTCTTGGACCAAATATACCAAGGAAATTTAAGGAAAATACAATAGGAAAAAATTAAGATAGTAGATACAAATTACATAAAAAAGTTGTAAAATTATACAAGAACAATGTATCTAACACAATTAGGTCAGCAGACCAAAGCATCAAAACAAAATGATAACTTCATAGCACCTGGCTGTAGAAGATGACCTAGGTCACCAAATGGATCAGGCAAATAGATTGTGGACGCGATCCCAGCTCTTAAACAAATCAAAAGTAAACAAAATTGGTTGGAAATATGTTGTTCTCCATTGCAACATCCGAAATTGCACTTGTAAAACTACAAGCTCAAACTCAAATTACATTATAGAAACAGTGCTAAAACAAGTCGGATTTTCAGATCATGGTACTACGTCACATCAAGATCATATCATCAGACTATTTGAAAGCTAACTGAAAATGTGAAAAACTATAGAATTTGAAGACTACGTCACCAGACTCTACAACCATTCTCCAAAACTCAGGTACTTCAAGCCAAAGTGATGGCAAAATTCGTGTCCAGACCTCTAAAAACACCAATTAAAACACTGCAAAACTGAAGGAACAGACCGGAGAACAAATGATTTGAATATACCGAAAGATTGAGGTAAGATCAAGAACTCGAGCTTGGCATCAGAGACGCAGAAACCGAATGGCACATTAATGGATTTAGACACTGATCTCGCTCTAAATGGATAAATAAAGGGACAGCAAGGATTTAGGATACTCTATGTAAAAATGTGGCTTAGTTCCAGGGAGAATTGGGATTTTCTTGGACAAAAAGAGTAGAGAGAAATGAAGGAAGACGTCTAATATGAAAATAAATAGAGAAGAAATTCTAGAGATAGAATTAGAGCTCAGTTGCAGAGAGAATTGGGGATTGGTGGAAGAGAGAGAGAAACAGATTGAGAAAGTATGCATGTGCTTCAGGCCCGTGTGGATCAGTCCTGGTTTTGCGGTTCGTTAAGGAAAAACAGGGTTGGCCAATATTTATACCGAGAGACTCAGCCAGCTTTCAGTAAAGGATGAAGTTTCTATAAGACCTAAGCTGTAGGAAAACACAATAAAGCCTCAACTCAAACCCCAGTTCGAGAAGCACTTTAGGCTCCTCTAGAATCAATTTCTAGTACGGACAATAAAAATTTAAAACTCAAATAATTGTGTGATATGTAATACTTAATTTTACGGTGATATGGATGGTCTTGATAATTTGATACAATATATATTATTTTTTGAGCTTGAAATTCAAAGCCGTAATGTTCAAGTTTAGATGATCTATGTAAAGGTTTTTCAATGCTTGAATTGTAATTTTCGATGAGTTAAGATATGAGGCTTTACTTATTTTATTCCTTTATTAAATGCTTAAATCACTTACGAACTCTTAAGACATACCATAAATGCCCTCACTTTTCTATGCTAAAGTCTCCTAAGTAAATTCCATTTTTAGTTGGGAGAAGCTTTCTAGACATTTCCTACTCTACATAAATATATACCTCTTCTATCTAGCTATCTCAATGGACGGTTGAGATTCAATGTCACGTCTCTATATTTTTTTATTTTTTATTTTTTATTTTTTATAAAACATTTTGACACCAAAGTTTGGGTGTCCACTCCTCTCTTGAACTTGTCTGTGCAATAAGTAAATAAGCAATTTTTTATAAAATAAAGAGAAAATTACATACATATATGTTATAATTTCTGTTATTACGGTTCTATTGAATAGTTTCTGTTATTATCACTATATTCGTTTTTGCATGTAAATATGGAAATTTAAAAAAAAAAAATACGAAATACTACTTTACAACAATTGAATCCAAAGTATTTTTGGTTGTTATGAAAATACACCAATTTCAATTCTTAAAGTATTTACTCTACCTATCTGAAGTCATAGTTATCGGATAAAATCAAATGGGACAACTACTTTGACCCCCTAGTTTTAGGAGAAATCTTAGGGGTTATGAGATTAGAAGATTAGGAGAAAACTTGTGGCATATTCTCTCTTTATCTCTTTAAATACGTGGTTATCTCATAAATTTAGGGGAACAACTAGTTTGAGCCCTAAATTTAGGAGAAATCTGAAGGATTATAAACTTACCAAAAAAAATAAGCTGGGTGAAGGGAAGAAAGAGAATTTAAAAAAAAAGCATTTTTAAGCATGTAATGTAGAGAGAGGTAGATAGAGGATACACATACCCACAAGAGAGAAAAAATTTTGGTTCCTCGATAAGTGAAAATTTTAAATTTTCCGTTATTCAAAAATCCAGTAATTTTTCAGTTATTCAAAAACTGAAATGATCCCCTTTTTTAGTTGTTGAACTACCTAAAATGCTTTGAATTCGGTTATTCAACCGAAAAAAAGGTAAAGTCGTTTTTTAAAGAAATATTCGTTTTGACATGAAAAAAACAGACACGGTGATAATAACAGAAACTATTTGGTAAAGCCGTAATAATAGAAACTATAATAGATATGTATGTACTTTTTTCTTAAAAATAAGGTGCATATCATGCACCTTAAGCTAAATAAGATTTTATATGTATACAACCAAAATATGGTGCATATTATGCATCTTAATTAAAAACTAAAACAAGATTTTTAGTACATTTCGGATATTTATATTTTGCATATTTTGCACCTCTGAAAATATAAACAAAATAGGGTTTTTAAATATTTATAATAGGGTGCGGTTTCTATAAGGATGCAACCTTAAACAATCCAATCAAGGTGCACCTTAAAATTTTATCATAACATGTAATTCGGTTATAAAAATCCTTACTATTATCTTAAAATCTATTTTCATACCTAATTAAAAAATTTTAAATTCCAAAAATGGTTAAAATCAAGTAGATATATAAATATATGAAAATCTTGAAAATAAACAGTCTAGATAATGTGTTGCAAGATACACTATTTTCAGGACTCAATTTTTTTCTTTTTTTTTTCCATATTCATACATCTCAATGTCGAGATGATCGATTAGAAGGTTTTTTTAATATTAAAACAATATTTCCGAGAGATTTTTGAGGTGCATATGTGATTCTACATTTTAAGGTTGCAACCTTATATAACTTTTTCCCTTTATAATATGCACCTATGATATAGGATATTTATATATATACAAACAAAATAAGGTCTTATATGGGATATCTAAAAATAGTCTTATATGCATACAATATATATTTTTACATATATTAAATATAATATTTATAATATATACATATATATTATATATACATTTGGGATATCTATATTTTGTATATTATGCACCTATATAAATATAAAAATACAAACAAAATAAGGCCTTTGCATATTATGCACCTATAATTATATATATATATAATATTTATAATATATATTATATAAAAAAAAATTCTTCCCAGCACTTATAGGCAAATATAAACAGTGATTTCGCCTACAATCATCATCGTCCAAAGTTCATCGCACGGTCACGATTATCTAGTAGTGTTTCATTTTTCATTTTTTTTTCTACAAATATGAATGATCTAAAATTTGGAGTGTGTATACATAATAATGAGCCGCACCTAATAAAAGTATAAAAAAAATAATTCGTAAATAAACAAATTGATCAAAATACCCCTAAAACTTTTTTAGGGTATTTGGTTAAATTTATTTCATGTAAAATATTTTTTGTAGATTTGGTTATTTTCGATGAACACACATTCCAAATTTAAGATCATTTAAATATGTATAAAAAAAAATATTAAAACACTTACATACAATCGTGACCGTGTGATGAACTTTTGATGGTGATGACGGTAAGCGAAATCATTATTCATTTTTGCCTCTAGGGGTTTTGTAGTATATTCCTTATATAAATATCTTATATTATATTATATATTTTATATAGAGTAATGATACGATGAAAGCCTCCCATGTGAATAGGACTCCAAAGAATCACTATTAAATTTTGACACAAATCTCTATAAAAGTTATCACATGGGTGTTGGACTTGGGTGACTGGGTTTATTGATAACTTTTCTAAAGATCTGTGTCAAAATTTAATGCTGATGCTTTAGGTTCCTACTTACATAGGTGTGGGAGGGTCTCATAGTATCGTTACTCTTTTATAATATACATTTATATTATATATTTTTATTTAATATAATAAATATTATATACATCATATATGAATGTCTTATAATATACTATATACTATATATAACTTATATAATATATATTTATTATATTATATAAAATTTACTTTATTCCCCCATAGAAATACCCCACCTTATTTTACATTTTACATTTAAGTCCTACTTTTTTGGGATAGATATTATTATTCTTTTTTGAAATGTGAGACTGGATATTGTATTTTTATTTATTTTGTCAATACATCATACCAGGCTCAAATTTGGGTTATCTATATTTCACATATTATGCACCTATAAAAATATAAACAAAATAAGGTCTTGTATACCATGAGATCGTTTTACTTTTGTTACAATGATGTCACAATCAGTTTTAGCCATTAGATGTGAAATCTAATAGATTGAAAAGTGTCACAATATTCGAAAAATATTATTTTGGGTTTTGTGCCCAATCAATGACACATCATCGACCACCCGATTTCGCATTGATCAATAATGACAGTGACCTCTTTGTACCAAAAGTAAATGCTCTCATTATATGCATTTCAAAAAAACGAATTGCAATAAATAAAATAGCTCAATCAGTAATTACTCATGAAACTTATAAAGTTATTTTACTTTTTTGATTTTATTAATAATGATTATGTTAGGGTATATATACACAAGAATATTTACTAAATGTATTCGACATTTTTTGACATTTAATCAATATTTATATACATTTAATACCGTTATCATGTAATGTAGTAACTTTTATTCTAAGGGTAAATATTTAAAGACAAAATAAAAATTCATGATAGAAATAAGAGTATTTATTAAATATAATGGATAACGACATCATCTATGGTTGATTTGACATTACTTACATGGAGTATTAAATGCCACCAAATTATTATAGAAATATCTACTTTACCTCTCATAATGATGAAAAATACTATTGCTAAAAAACAAATCGTATTATAAAATAAAAATAATTAGTGTAAAATAATATTAAGCACATTTAGTATATGCTCACATGTATGTACCCTAATATAACCTTATTAATAAAACAAGATTTTTTGTACATTTTGCTTAAGCAAAAAGTATAAAAGTAATAAGTGGTTTTCCACTTCTTTATATTTCATTATTATTGTTAGAACACTTGTTTCATGTGGGCCGGACCGCATTTCTACAATATACGGTCAAGAGGTATGAAGTATTCATCTTAAAGATGGATGCAAATAGGTGGTCCATCTAAAAATAATTGTAACTAACGATCCAAATGTTTATTTACTATAATAATTATTTATAGTTTTTAATTGTTTTTCATATTCATGATCTATATGTTAAAGATTATCTAAAATTGAGATCAAATTATCTTTAAAAAAATATTTATTGTTAAACCCGTATTTCTATGATAAGCGGGATGGCTGCTGACTGCTTATTTATTAATTTATTATTATTATTGTTATTATTATTATTCTGCATCAATTCACTTTACATTTTGCACTGTATACTACTGCGACACCCAAAATTTACTTTACATTTTGCATTATATACTACTGCGACACCCAAAATTTACTTTACATTACATTTTGCATCATATACTACTGCGACACCCAAAATTTACTTTACTTTACAGTTTTCACTATACACTACACCCAAATTTTAGTTTACATTTTGCACTATATACTACTGTGACACCCAACTAACGGCCATAGGTAAATCGAACTCCATGGAAACACTCGTAGCTGATCACACCCCAGGTCTACATTTTCTAACCATGCGGCCTGTCAAATTCTGTCACTGATAAATATGACGATTTTCTGCTCCTAAAGCAAGATTTTTAGTACATATGGGACATCTATATTTCGCACATTATGCACCAATAAAAATAAGGTCTTTTAACACATTTGG